TATATACAAATTAAGTTGTTTATCGCTAAAATAAATGTATGGAAATGTGTGATATCCATGAGGGATGGATAATGCAGCGGTAGACCTCGCGCTATAGTAGCACCGAAACAAAAGTGTACAGTTATTGAGAAATAAAGTAGAAAATGACAAATGTATTGAGTATACTATAGTCTGATATATATAGGATAAGTTAGAAGGAACTAATTCTAAGATAATTTTATCTTTGGATTCTCAAGGTTTGAAAGTTTTAAATGTTAGAAGTATTTGTGGAAATGGAAAATAAGAATGTGTGTATGAAGGCCAACGACTCAAACCATTAATCTGTTGTCAGAAAGTTATGAAATTAAAACAAAAAATGAAAATTGAACTGACAGGAAAGCAAATTTTATTCAGTTTCTCTAACATTGTTAATCAGGTAAAAAACAGTTGGTAAAACTGGAAAGTTTAAATAAAGTGTCATTAATCTGAAAAAATAAGTTGTAGTAAGTGTAGTTTTTTATGTGAAGAACAGGTTAGAATAAATGTAACATGTAACTGTAGTTTTTTTTTTATGTAGACAACTGAAGGTTAGAGTAAACATGTGACATGTAAATCTATGAATGCTTGATTTTTAGAACTATAGCATGAAGTTAATAAATCAAAAGAAATGTGAAAGATTGTGTAAAAAAATATAAGTGAAAGGTAAAGAAGAGAAAATAAAAGAAACAAACAAAATGAGAAAAAGAACACAAAATATTAACCTAATAAAGCCTCAGAAAAGGTGCCAAGTGTTTTATTGGTGTTCAGAACTTTTTGTTTTGAATTATTTAATATATGGATAACCAGTATATCTTTATTTATTTGGAATATATAAACAAGATGTATGTATAGGAGAAGAGGTGAATTAAAGGTGGGCTATCGAAGATTGTTAGAAAAAGGAATATCCTAGTGGTTTCTGGGTAGAAGAGAAATAAGTTTTGAGTGGTGGTCGTATGTTTTTCAGTTACATTGTACTCACATTAATTGACTTGATCAAAGAATTTAATGTCTTACTTGCACTCTGATTGTCAGTCGTATAATGATTGGCTTTAAATCCAAAGATAAGATCATGTGTTGCAAATGACTCATTAAAATGTGTTGACAGCCCAACACAAACATAAGTGAAAAGGTTTGGTGACTTGTGGTAACAAGTGACACATTTCTTACTATGTTTCTAGATTTCTGTATCAGAACAATAGCATGATTTTAAAGTTATTCAAACATGTGCATAAGAAAGTTTTTAGTTCAAGTTTTAAACAAAGTACATATTTAAATTCTATCTTCTTTTTCTGCGTGTCATTGTTTCGTATATTACAGTTTTGCAGAAAAGCTCAGAAATATGATTTAAAAATAAGATCTACACAATGTGTGTGTTTTAGAAGTATTTGTTCATAAGTTGTTTAGATATATATTAAACATTATTAAAATAGAAAAACTTTTGATGTAGAGTTAATAAGATGTTAATATGACAACTTAATTAATTAAATGGACAACTTGTGTGCTTACTTTAATCTGGAATTTTTCTTGCAGGATGCTGTGGGTGAAGAAATACTTCGAATGTCTACAGATGACATTATTGGTCGGACTAGACTTTTAGATAATGAAGTCAAGGTAAACTCCGTAACACTATTATGAATTCAAAGCCAAATATCATTGAAACTGTACTCGTAAGCAACATCCCATATCTGTAATTCTTTGTGAATAACAACACTTTCAGTCTTGTTATTTATTCACTAACTGCTATATTAAAATTAGTTTTTGGATGTTCAACCAAAACAAAGTTTTAAGGATAAGAAATTTAGGTCATATTATCATACACCCTTTATCTTTCATCGAGAGAGAGCCTTTTCTAAACTCCTTGACTTTGATAAAATCGACTGTTGCCACAAAGTTTGATAAATGAGGCTGTTATTGGTTATGCCTGACTTATTACAAATTTGACCTGAGTCAAATACAGATATGCATGCATTGCAATCATACATTTATGCACATAAAAAAACACTTTATTAAATCGCCCATGACATTTTTAACACAATTATCTATAAGCTGTGACATTAAATTTTTTTGAGCAAAATCTATTGTTGTGATATACATTGTGACTTGTATAATAAATAAAAAATAATGTTTATTAATTTTTATTTTTAATAGCAATTATGCTTCAAAATGTTTTTTTAGAATGCTTTTAAATTTTGAACCAAGGTTTGTTTTAATCACAGCAAACAGTCCTTTTTGTTGGTATGTGACTTGGCAAATAGAAGGGCAAAAATTAGTAGAAAATTCTGAATGAATCTGTTGGTGAAGCATAAAATCACCTTGTTCTGGAAGTTCATTTTATTGATCAGATATGTGTATTTACCTAAATTAATTGTATGTATATGTAATACAGTTTATTGTATTTATTTTTTAAATGAAGTACAGTGAGCATTTGTTAGATTAAGTCAAATAGTCTTTAATATATGAAGACTGGAACGATTAATGTTGTTTACCTCCATAGATCATGAAAAGTGAAGTGATGAGGATATCTCACGAACTTCAGGCCCAGAAAGAAAAGATCAAAGAAAATACTGAAAAAATAAAAGTCAACAAAACATTACCCTACCTTGTATCTAATGTGATTGAGGTATGTTGTTTTTTAATACTTGGAACAAGAAATTACCATTAGTTTCTTATATAATCAGTATTACTTCTTGCCTTACATGTAACAGCTAATGCTACAAGTTTTAGTGTATGGATGAAAACTATTCCAGATTACTGCTATTTTAAAAGAAGGTTCTTGTAAAATAAATTACTGAAATTTACACAAAAAAGCATCCAGTTTATATTCAGAAATTACATAGCTTAGATAACTAAATTGTGTTATATTTTGTTATGATTTATATGTTTACTGTTTTATTGTTCAGCTACTTGATGTTGACCCTCAAGATTTAGGGGAAGAAGATGGAGCAAATGTAGACCTGGATTCACAGAGAAAGGGGAAATGTGCTGTTATTAAAACATCTACTCGACAAGTAAGTAGGTTTATGTTGCAGACTTCTTTTTATAATTCATAATGTCAATACAAAGTGATCAAGTAAAGTTCAAGAGAATTTAAGTTCTTAGTAACAGGTTAATTGAAAAATCATGGGCAATATTGTGTTAATGGGAAGAGACTCTTTGATACACAATTTTTTTTCATTAGAAACTAAAAAATGAACCACAAAATATTTTTGCACGAGAATATTACAATCTTTTTTGCACACTTGCTTAAATTTGCAAGTTGTGGAACCCATGTAATCTTTTGAGCACAACGGACAAATGTGTTTGTAGACACATGCAAAATGTGTGGAATATTCCTGTTAAAAAATGATGTTTTTATATTCTTTTTTCAGCTTCTAATAAAAGTAACTCGTATGTCAAAGAGTTTCTTGTCATCAATAGAACATGCACAAACTATAATTCACGAGTAATTGATTGCTTATGTTTAATCATTTGAACTTATCGTTCAGGTGGATTTCATATCAGTTATCCTTTATTTCAACCCATATTTTCCAATATGTTGTTTGTGAAAATGCTGTTCATTTACTTTTTTATGTAATTGAAGTCAAATTATTGCCTAATTTATCTTTATTGCACATGCAATTTGTTTTCGCAATGCCTAGTTTAAAGATACACAAGTTTTCAAATCATTGAAGACCATCTTATGATCATTTTGATGGTTTTAAAATTGGTATTTGTTGACTAAAGATAAACTTACTTAATTTCTGTAGTAAATACTGAAGTATATAAAAGACATATTAATGCTAGAAATAAATGATATTACTACACCAAATTTAGCTGTCCAGTTAAATATGAATAAAAACAACAACTAAATTGGATGTTTATAAGGGCATTTATTTTTAGAATTAAACTTGATGAACTGATCAGAATCTGAGCTGTGTAGTTTCATAATAAGCAGGCATCTGTTCGTACTTGTGTACAGGTACATCACTGATTTTCCGGCACCCTTGGTTCCAGAGCCTTACTGGATTATCCATTTTGCCGGACCAACAGAGGTCACATAATAATAATTCAACAATACACTTCTGACCCACTAATTATACCCCTTCCATGTCTCTAAAGCACCATGGTCTGCTGGAAACTTAAATAAAACAAATATTAAATGCAAATTAAATGATTAATGAAATACATTAGTACAGATATAAATGATACAGGTTTATTAGTACAGTATAAATGAAAAATGTTTACTAATTACTGTACTTAAAAAGAATGTTGCAATAGTACCACTTCCAAAGTGGCAAATTTTAGTATTATACTGGAATTGTAGAGCTAATCACAAAGGTCTGGAAGTTGAGGGCCATCAGGATTACTACTAATATGTTAAACTACATATTCTTGGCAACATTCATGAAAACATTCAAACAATTTGATCCCCTAGTTTAATATTTATAAGAAAATTTTCATGAAAGTGATGTACTTAAAATGTAAGTATCATGTCCCAAAAGAGCGTGTGCCACACGCAATGCCATCTGTGGCTGCCCAGTGAACTAGTCTGGCAGTCACGGGAATTTCAAGTGTGTTCTCTTAATTTTAGCCAGATTAAAAAAAAGGTGCTGGAAAATCAGTGGTGTACTGTATGTGTAACAAGATTTACCATCTGACATTTATAATTATTAAACAAGATATATTTACAATCCCTATGAGACATTGGTATTAGGCTTATTACATTTTTAACACTACATTCTTTATTTAGTCCCTTAGGGATTTTCAGGAATTAGAAGAGTGTGTAATAGTGTATCCCAACCAAACTATATTTGTTATATCCATTGCTGAGGCCAGCTAGGATACAACAACAATTGTTATGGTGTGTACACCTTTTACAGAAACCAGCAAAACATGATTACGGTTAGGGGTTGTCATAAGATATTAGTACAAGGCCTATTACATTTATAAACACTACATTCTTTATTTAGTCCCTTAGGGATTTTCAGGAATTAGAAGAGTGTGTAATGGTGTATCCCAACCAAACTATATTTGTTATATCCATTGCTGACGCCAGCTAGGATACAACAAGCACAGTAGTGGTCAGAACACTTTATATATGTCATTTGATACAACAACAATTGTTATGGTGTGTACACCTTTTACAGAAACCAGCAAAATATGATTACAGTTAGGGTTGTCATAAGACATTAGTACAAGGCCTATTACATTTATAAACACTAAATTCTTTATCTAGTCCTTTTGGGATTCTCAGAATTGGAAGAGTGTATAATAATAGTATTCCAACCACACTATATATTTGTCATATCTCTTGCTGACAATGCATTTAAAAATGTAATAGGTCGAACACTAATGACTTAAGACAAGCATAATTGAAATCTATTCACTCTGGTTTAAATGCAAATCACCAAACTTTGTGGTGTTTTGAAACCATACAAGTGTAATTGAAAAACTTGACATATTAAAAAATAAAGACAAAATCATGTTATGAACATATCATAGGAGTATTACTGTATTTGTTAGGTTAAATCTGTATAAATACATTTTATGTTTTATTTTAATTCTAGACATATTTCCTCCCAGTGATTGGGTTAGTTGATGCAGAAAAGCTAAAGCCTGGGGACTTAGTGGTAAGTGTGAAAAACATTTGGTTTTAAACTAAGTAGCTTTACAATCCAAGAAATACATTTTATTCTGGTACAAGATCTGCTCATTTGAATAATCTAGATTTTGATGGTCACCATACTAATAGTAGGGTGGGGGCAAAGTTTTTGAATACAGAATCTGCCAAACAACATTCATTATATATATTTTAATGATGGTAATGATTTTTTAAAGTGCAAATTATTCTTTAAAAATAATATAGTTTTCACTTGATGTACTTTATTTATATCTTTTTATGGAGCTATAGGTAGCCCTCTGGACTTAATATCTTGTCAAATAATGACTTACATTAGTAGGAAATGAGATTTTATATATTAAGCATTTTCAGCATAGTATCCCAAGTTTTTATGGGGGCAAAATGACATAAGGTTTGAAGTATTATGTATGATCCATCCCCTCAAATTACCTCCAAAATAGTTATAATTGAAATGTTGAGATTTTTAAATTTTATTTTGATACAAGTTTTATTAATATTTGTTTTGGATAAAGTAGTTAAAAAATTGAAATCGCTAGCTCTAATTTTTTGTTTTTGTCTCCTTACTTTGTAGATTAACATGCTTTCACAGAAGATTTGGGATAAATTCTGGGACTTATCCTACATTTGCTGTTTTACTTCTGCAACTGGCCCGGCATGGCCAGGTGGTTAGGGAGCTCGACTCGTACTCTGAGGGTCGTGGGTTCGAATCCCCATCACACCAAACATGCCTGCCCTTTCAGCTGTGGGGGCATTATAATGTGACAGTCAATCCCACTATTCGTTGGTAAAAGAGTAGCCCAAGAGTTGGCGGTGGGTGGTGATGACTAGCTGCCTTACCTCTAGTCTTACACTGCTAAATTAGGGACGGCTAGCGCAGATAGCCCTCGTGTAGCTTTGCGCGAAATTCAAAAACAAACAAAGCATCTAAAAAGAAGTTTATAAACTTAGAAAATTTATTAGTATTAGCAGCAGATGTGTTCCAAAATATGCTAGCTTAACTCGTCTGAAGTAATTCACCACATCTTCATTAAATCTACTCAAAAGACTTCTTTCTGGTCGCTATCAGCAGCTATAGAAATGCTTTTGTCAAAGTCGAATTTCTCAGTATCAGTAAATTATAAAACAGACAGCAATGGAGTGGTCAGGATAAAGATAACTGTTATTCATTTGTTGTGGTTTTAGTTTTGATTTGATTTCATGTTGAAGAAAGGGAAGTTTATTGTAGTCATTTAATGTGACGCAATTCTAGGCTAAAAAGACAAACTTCATATCGTGTTTCTTAGTTCACAGAAATAGTAGTACTAGTATTGTTGCTTGAGCAATCGATATAAAGCTTAAAATCAGCAGATATTGTGGATACTTGATAAGACTGACTTATTACATTTTAGAGTCATGAGGATTTTAGAACAATGCTGCTCACTTACCTCACATTAGCTATCTTTTTTGGAAGCCATACATTCGGCATTAAAACTTACAATCTCAGAATTGGTAATTCTTGTTTCAAATATTCATGTAATTTGTTCCAAACAGACCAAGAGTAGATAGACACATATGTTGCAATAAAAGAGTGGCTCTTGTTCTAAACGTACTCAATAACTCTCAGTAATTGGAGTTACTTAGTTCTCCAGGATAGTTAATGTATATCTGAAAAAGTTAACGGGAAACTTCGCGAAACGTAATCAAGAAACAAAAAATAACTTTTTAAGAGTAAGGTAAGCCTAATGCTTCGCATTTTAAGTATAATTTTTATTGTTTATGTTTTATATTTCTTAAATATCCTTATTTCTGAATTTAGTTGTTATTGGGGAAAAAAGAGGTTAAGGGCAATATATTAATTTTTAGGAAACTTAAGGGCGGTCCGGAAAAAGAAACAACAAAAATAACAAGCAAAGGCAACTGAATCGTGATAAAATATGTACATGCAAAGAAGTGATTAAATTTACCATATGAAAAAGAGATGTGTACATGGCATATTTGTTGGCAATATGAGTTTTTAGAGTAGTGCTAACCATAGTATTTTGTATTTTTATAATAAAAAAGAGTAAATATATCGGATAAAAGACTTTAGGACGGTACAACAAGGACAAATTTCTTACATGGTAATTAGTACATACATGTTTTGTTGAAGCTCCTTCTTTGGGAATACTAGATTGAGCTTTTCCTTATACTTTACTTTTTACAATCATCGTTGGCGATTTTAAGAATACTTTAATTTATTATTAACTTCACTTTCATTTTAGCTAAAGATAATATTTAAACACAATGCTAAAAAAAAAATGTGCCAATAGGAAAATGGAGACAAAATGATTAGCTTATAACAACCATTATGTTGTCTAAAATAAATTAAGCTATATTATTGATAGTGAGAATTTTGAAAATATGGGGCTATTAATTGATAAAAACTCTAACTATTAGATAAAATTTATATAGAGAACCATAGTTTCAGTTTTTTACAGCCAGCTAGAAACGGCTTCATTCTCTCCCATTCTCACTCTTCCCCTTTCAAGTTGGAAGTAAAATAATCATAATTGAAAAGCCACCCCCCTCAAAAAATCTGTCTTTATTTTGATTAAAACAGATGGAATAGTTGAATAATATATACATGTCAGTATTTAAAATTGCAAACTTATGTTGTTTAAAGAAATTATGACAAGTTTAACAATGTTCTAGTGAATCCAGGATACAATTTTGAAGGAGTTAGGTATAGTAACCATCTTCTTTTATCACTCTAAAAATAGAAATTAAATGATTACTACTCATAAAGTAGACAACAAAACACGAGTTTACTACGTTAAAAGTGGTAATTAACGTTGAATCACTGTAATAAGCAAAGTCTCTTTCAAGTTTCTAATGTACGTATTTCCACTAGACGCCATTTTAAGTATTACACTCTTTCCTTCATTGACGTTGTTATTAAGTACAAAACTACAAAAGGGCTATCTGTGCTATGCTCACCACGGGTATCAAAACCCGGTTTCTAGCAGTATAAGTCCACAGACACACCACTGTAAGCTTCCTTCATTGATCTCATTTTGATGGTGTTCTGTACAATTTCACTCCAATTTGTTTCTATTCTAAATATCTATAGGCATACAGTATTTTAACCTTCCTTTCACTTCTTTTGCTTCCCTGTGAAGGTCCAAAAAGTTAGCACTCGTTTTAACACAATCCAAGCATGCTGTGAGTAGCAATCTGATTTTGTAGACTGGTTTGGTTTGGTTTGAATTTCGCGCAAAGCTAAACGAGGGCTATCTGCGCTAGCCGTCCCTAATTTAGCAGTTAAATCTAGAGTGAAGGCAGTTATTCATCATCACCCACCGCCAAATCTTGGGCTACTCTTTTACCAACAAATAGTGTGATTGACCTATTATTTCTGAAAGGTAGATCACAACCGTAATTTTATATAATAAAAAAGCACGAAGTCTACACTATTATGACTGAAAATGCTCCTACGAATAAAGTACACATAGCAACGCTAAGATTAAGCTATATTGCGATAGTTCTATAACAGACAGTATATAGTTGTAGTTTGATGCAAAAAGGGGAATGCCACTTATCTTCTTTAATCACAATCAAGCAAATAGTCTTAACTCGCACATGAAACATGAAAATATACTTGGCATTACTTTACAACGGTCATTCACTAATTCTAAAATTGAACGACAAGCTATAAGCTTCTATTGGAAACGAACAAAGCTGGAATGGTTAGTTAAGCCAAACAGCCGTAAAAAGAAATAATTTATTATCTGTTGAAAACAAGCTAGGAATGGTTATTTATGATAAATATCTCTGAAAAGTTCTTATTATCTGCAGAAAACAGACTATGTCGCTGTGTCGAAGTGCTAGGAATTTGGATAACTGATATGGAACTTTGACTTTAATTTTTATCCAAAAATACAGTATACACGAAATGAAGTAGACTGAACTGAATTTAGATTTTGACACCAGCCAAGATATCCAAGTTCGATATACCGATCTTCGACTGTACTAGGAATGGTTACTTGTGACAAGCCGCAGTGAAAACGTTTTTATTGTATGAAACACAATAAAAAAACATTAATTATCAGAGACTGCATAAATCTTCAACATTATTCGACAACAAATTTAATTTTTACAAACATAGCAATTTTCAGCATTGCATTAGTAATAAATTCTTAACACACACACAAGTTTATCTTATAATGACTTATACTAAAATAAAAGAGAGAAAGAGAGAACATGTAGAATTAAATTCATATAAACTATTAATTCCATTTTGAAATAAAGCTTTTATTTCTGATGTTTTTATCTAACTATATTACATAATTCAACAAAGCCAAATAAAAAGCAAAAGCAAAGATCAAAATCTGTGTCTTTCAGTTCTACAACCTATAAGACAAATATTAAATACTAATAGTTTGAATTTTACCTTCCGGTGCATTACGTGAAATATATTGGTTCAGGCTCACTTCTAGATTTCTCAAAAGATTCGAATTTTTCATGCTTTATCCCATATGAGTAATGGTTCAATGTGAAAAATTCTGCCTTGGACATATGTAGAAAGAAAAATGCTTTCTCAAGTAAAAATAAAATAAAATAGAAATATGACGATTTCTAACGAATCTTACTTCATTCATTATTAATATCATTCTTGTTACATTTAAACTGACTACAGTAACTCGTAAGAAATCTGCGCTGTGACAAAATTATTTCAAATGCGAAAATGAAAAGAAGGCAACAAAAGGTCACGTTGTGAATCTTCAGTCTTAATATCACAATTGAAACATGATTAGTGAGTCATAAAAAAATTGTGTTAGTAAAATAACAGTAAAATTAAACAATATGCATCCAATTATGAGATGAAAAACAGTAAATAATGTAATTAACTGGAAAAATATCTTCCGTGCTTTTGTCAAAATTAAAGTACAGTATATAATACATAATCAAAGCAAAATAGTCCAAATTTTATGAACAATAAGTTATAATTAAATATATAGTGATTCCTAGAGAAGACATGGCGAAATTTTTGTGAAAATCGTTATATTTATAACTTGT